GGTGGTGTTGTGGCAAATGGCGCACTCCACAAATGCATGATCAAGGGTTCGAATCCCGGATCGATATTCGCCTGAGCCAACCAAGTCTTCTATACCTTCGGGGTCAGTTATTTGATACCACAGTCGTCTGGGAGGACAAATATACTGACTTGTACGTTGGCTAACTACCGCAAGTCACTGCGATTCTGAAAGGAAGTCGAATGCGTGGGCGCATCGTTCTGATGGGGTTGATTGACGCTCCAAGACCTTAGAGAAGATTTCGGAAGAGCTTACTACAATAATGAGGTACCCGGAGAGCAGTAGCAGCAGAGGGCTTTGAATCCTTTTTTTAGTTTAAACTAGACTTCAGGGGGATATATAGGAGGGAGATGCACATTTTCGGGGGGCGCGGGATATTCGAACTAAACGGGGCGCTGTACTCGTTGCACTAGACCTATGTGGGATGACCTTCTCCTCTCTAATTCTCATCTGATTTTGTGAAAGAACACCTGGAGTGAGGGTGTTCGCTTATTTGTACGCGAGTTGTTTCCTGCCACGTGGTTATCTCTGTCACGCGCCCAAATACGCGAGAATCCCTCAAGCATCAGCTATTAGATGAGAAACGTCTATCTCAAGTAAGTAACGCGGTCAAGTATAGGGAATAACAAGTGAACAAAAATGATAGAGAATAAGTGAGCAAGGCGAAGTTGACGATTAGTTGAAGAAAGAAAGCTCGAGCGTTCCCGTACTCTTCTTATATAACGTCGTTTCCCGCGCGATCGTAGCGCCGTGATCTCCCGCGCGGGAACAGTGAGACGGCTTGCCGTCAACCTGGGTTCCGAAACATCGATAAGCTGCATTAATCATACTAATCTTTTACCTTTTTTCTATCCATTTAATGAAAACAAAAGTCGATGTGATTTTTAGACACTGATGAAATATCGTGAGATGATGCACAATCTACTCTCGTATGACTGGGTGAACGTGCCGTTAGTATACACTCAGGTAGGATAGTGTTAAATATTCCGAGAAACAACTTTCATGTGACGAGATTAATTCGAAAATTGGATTGGCAATGAAGAGTGAATTACAGGTAGTTCATATATGTACGATGGCGTATTTCGGCATAACATGCCTTGCAAATCAACCCATCAGGGAGCAAGTGAGTGGAACCACGGAAATAATTCTTTCAGAGTCCTGAGCCAACTTGAGAAAAAAAGAGTTTAGGGACCAACGTACTGGCTCAATGAATTCGTGGTTCCAGTATATGCTGTTTATGAGTTTATTTTCTTTGTCGGTTGGCTGAAAGTAGCTCAAGTAAGTTGGTTCCTTATCGCATCGAAGAAAAACGAAATCATGGACTTTTGAAGTCTTCCGAATCTGACCAGTACCGTTTTCTGGGCTGCGCCCCGCTTTAGATTCCCATTCAAAATTGTAGCGGAGTCTTGTATGCGCATGCTGCCCATGGATGGCTTACCGTGGCCAGTTGATGTAAAAGAGTAATGTAGGCGGTGCCGCCCTGTGATTAGTGGGACCCATTCAGAATCAGGAGACCNGAGCCGTCCTTGAGTTCGCGTTTGGTCATCTGGTATGTAATAGCCTTGTCTGGGAGATGGAAATAGTGATTTGCACCATTGGCCCACCTTACAATTCATTCAGTGAGCCGAATACCCACTCGCTACTCTGATTGGGGTGGAATGTGTGGGCTCATCTCCGAACTCATCTAGTAGGCAACAGCTTTTTGCCTTTTTATCAGGTGATGCTGAATCCTTTTGGATTGGACGAAGACGACTTTGAGATAGACATGTTGATAGAGAGAAATTTACAGGTGATGTAAAGTTTGCAAATCCCCTTTTTATTTCTCAGTTTGTTGAGCATCAGACTGTTATTCACATCATTCAGCTGTTAGGAAAATACAAATGGGAAGAATGTCATCATGTTGGAGCTTTTCAGATTGCTTACTCCTATGTGGAAAGTATGTACGAACGACTTCCGCCATTAGTTCATGTGGATGTTGCAGCTCTACCTCACACCAAAGTATGCTCTTCTCATGCTCTACATCATCTTTCGAGAATACTATCATGCTCCATACCGTATTACTCGAAGAACTCTGGGCTTCTCAACTACTAAAATTTTTCCCTGCTCCCTATAATCTTTTTTTTNNTTTTTTTGGATGCCTTTTTGACTGCCCTGGACTTCGCATTATTTGGAACCTCAACTGAGGGAGGGTCATATGGAGAGTTCGCGAAGATGCCAAGTACCTTCATTTGGTACAGGGTGTAGGTGGTGCAGGGCGGTTTATATTATAGGTGTAGATGAGTACGAAAAAATCAGCAGAATTCTGAAATACTTTTTCATGCGATCATCCCTATTGTTGGACGATTTTATGACGACGGGAGGGGTTTTCGAACGAGATTTAGGCCGCTACGGAGCAACATGTGTTATAATTATTGACCACATTCGAAACAAACGCGCTCCATTTGAAATGATAACAACTACCACGAGACTTTGAAACACGTCCTTTCTTGAGAGTACTGACCGGCGACACTGGACTCACCGACTGTTTTTTGAGCCCTTATTACGCTCTGCTCAGCCGGGATAGGAGGCATAAGCTCCTACAAATAAAAAATCTTGGATTCTTCTTCGAAACGATATTTTTATGGCAGATTAGGCCTCGAGACGAACGAAGGAGCCCTGAATTCTGGTGCCGTAACTCCGCGTTCCCAAACGGGGTAACTTTCCAGAACCATAACTTGTTCGGATCATCCTAGGAAATTCAGTCTATAAACCAGACTATATGCAAATTAGGAGGTTGTTCAGAAGCTTGCTCTAGCATTTTGGGTTATCTTTACTAGTACTACTTACTTATAACCGTCCTAACCTGCCCGTGAAAAATAAAAAAAATTGAAATAAAAATACGGTAGGGAAAAGAATATGAAAATGTGCAGGCATCAGCAGCTTTATACAAGCAAGCAAATCCGATGGTTGGTTCGGTTGCTAACGTGAATGTGCCCAGTGAAGAGCAACAAGTTATTAGTAAGGAAGATGTGGAGATGATCAGGAAGCTCGTGGTATGTTGCTGCAGTACTCTTACATTTCTTTTCGATAGTTGAAACACCAAGAGGAGGGAAAATTGGAGAAAAAACCGTTTTCCGAAAAATTGGTATTTTTTCTTTATCCAGTAATCCTAATTCAGTCACGAAGATCCTTCATCTTTAGGGTCCTCGATTTGGACGTCGTTTCGATTACCCAGAAAGTCAAGGACAAGCGAGTGATGTCAACAAAATTCAAAACTCTCCACAGAGTGTACTAAAACTTTCTAATTTGCTTTAGAAAATATTGCATTTTTCTCTGTAATACTTCCGTTTAGGAGAAGGAAAGCGATTCAAAGGTCACATCGCAGGGACAGGCACAGGAACAGGGACAAGGACAGGGACAAGGACAGGGACAGGGACAAGTACAGGCGAGTTGGGCAGTTTTTGTTAGTTAATCCAATGATTGTGATCTGATTTCGAACAAAACTGTGGGTTAAGGATGGATCTCAAATCTGGTAGAATTTCCTATAGGGACCTCTAGATCTGTATGTCTCAGGACACACTCCAAATCCTCTTCCCATTCTATAGTAAAAAAAA